GAAGGCAATGCCAAGGATTGGTATCAAGCACATCAAGACAACACAACAGATTGGCTCAGCATATTATGGACTTATGTGATAAATGTGATATGAATATGCCAAATGAACAACGTGTTTTGTATCTGCGACGTGGTCTGAGACCAGAATTGAAGCATTATGTACTGATTTATCAACCATCTACACCGTTAGAATTTCTTACAATAATGCAAGCAGATGAAAAGCTACAACTGGACGAAAATGCTTTTGGGTTAGACGGCGAAGACCCAACAACAACACAACAACGAAAAAGTCAACAAACAACATGGAATAATCAATAACCAAATGTATCAGAATCATATAACATCCAATCAATTCATGACCTAAGTACAACGGTTAGCAGCTAACCAGAGATGGGCAAGCCTAAGTCATGACTGGAACTGAGTCACTAGTGGCGTATCCAGAGGAGGGCTAGAGGGGGCTCAGCCTCCTCTAGAAGGTTCTGAGCCCGCTCTACAAACGGTTTAGCTCTGCTTGGAAAAGGCTCGAGCCCCCTCTAGACGTATGGTTAGATAGGCTGAGTCCCCTCTACAACTTTTTTCTGGCGATGTCACTATGAGTCACGACTGAAGGTTTTGTTTTTTGAGACTGAGACTAGATTGAGACTGATGGCTTCGTGACTGAGACTCGACTGAGACTGACGATTTCTATATCGTGACTGACTGTTTGAAAATACGACTGATATTTTTTAAATAGAAAGTGAGAGAAAAACAGAAAAAGTAAGCAGGAAGACAATTCAAATTAAATTGGATTTTCGGCTTTACCAGACATAAATAAAAAAGAACTTTGTGAACATGTTAAAAAATTAGTTTTCGATGCGCCAGTTTCACTACATTGTAAAACTTCAACAAAAAATCGCGAGCAGTGGCGAGTCAAGTGAAACTTCGTCTGGTGCTAGTGATGCGTCTAGCAGTCTTAAAAGAAAATCACTTTTTGGTTTCATGGGGAACGATATTAAAAAACAAAAATCTCTCTCAACTATATCAGATGATGTAATCGCTAAAGAGATTATATGTTATTTAAATGATGAAGATACAAGTTGTTGTTTACTTTTAAAAAAATCATCGTATTATCCACTGCTGAATGCCTTGGCGATAAAAATGCTTTGGGTACCAGCTACAAGTGGACCTGTAGAGCGTGTTTCTCGCAGAGCGGTTTCTTAATACGTCCATATAGGTCTAGAATGACAAAAAATACTCTTTCTACTCTTACACTGTCAAAATGTAACTTCAAATTTCTCGATTAAGATATTAG